TTACCACATGCGAAAAGAGAGGACGCTGAAACGATTGTTCAGGAAATGAAGAAAGACGGGGTGTGATAAAACCTTCTACGAGCCCATGGGTCTCTCCGGTGGTCCTGGTTAAGAAGAAAGACGGAACGAAGAGGTCCTGTGTGGATTACCGTTTGCTGAACAACTTTACCAAGAAAGATAGTTATCCTCTGCCTCGGATCGATGACACATTGGACACATTGGCTGGAAGTAAATTGTTTGTAAATACTTTGGATTTGAAGTTTGGATACTGGCAGGTAGAAATGGGCCCAGTAGATAAAGAGAAGACAGCCTTCACCACAGGATCTGGATAAATTACTACTTAACTGGGAATAAGCCACAATTAAAGATAAAAATACGTTTATTGACGTTTCAATTTCCACTTCGGAAATCGTTCTCAAAATGTATTTTGACGTTTCAATTTCCACTTCGGAAATCGTTCTCAAAATGTATTTTGAGAACGATTTCCGAAGTGGAAATTGAAACGTCAGTAAACGTATTTTTAACTTTAATTGTGGCTTATTCCCAGTTAAATAGTCATTAATTTAAAATGCCACAAGAAAATAGCACCACAACAATATTAGGATCTGAATTGTGGCACATTACCGTTATGCCATTTGGACTCTGTAATGCTCCTGCGACATTTAAGAGACTTATGGAAAATGTGTTAAGAGGATTATCCTGGAAATCATGCCTGGTTTATCTAGATGGCATAATCGTCTTGGGGGAGACATTTGAAGATCATCTGAAGAATTTAGAAAACGTTTTTAATTGACTTAAAGCTTTTACAAGGTAAAGTCAATTATCTGGGTCATATAGTCAGTAAAGAAGGAGTGGCCGTGGATAAAGGAAAAATGATTCCATTAAGGAATGGCCAGAATCAATTCGTCAAACATCAAGTGAGAAGTTTTCTTGGATTATGTACTTACTACCGGAGTTTTATTAAGAAGTTTGCAGATATCGCTGGGGATGCAGACTGCCAAAATGCCTTTTAGACCTTGAAAAAGCATTTAATCACAGCACCAATTTTAGGGTATTCACTGCCAGAAGGAGAGTTTATCTTAGGTACAGATGCAAGTAATGTGGGAATTGGAGGAGTGCTATCTGAGATTCAATGAGGACAGGAAAGAGTCCTTGGATATTTTAGTAAAATTCTTTCAAAACCTAAGCGAAATTATTGCGTCACAAGCAGAGAACTTCTAGCAGTAGCCAAATCAGTAAAGCCCTTCTATCAATACCTCTATGGAAGGAAGTTTTTAATCCGAACTGACCATGTCGCCCATAAGTGGTTGATGTAGTTTAAGAATCCAGAGGGTCAGATAGCCAGATGGATCGAACGATTCCAAGAATACGATTTCAAGATTAAGCACCTGGCCGGAGTTAGCCACAGAAATGCTGATTCTCTTTCCAGAAGGCCATGCCCAGCAGAGTGTTCCTACTGTAACAAAACGAAATCCAAAGAAGCAGCAGTGCTAAGAACAACGATGATCAACGACGCCTACTAAAATAAGAGAAGAACAAAAGAGAGATCCAGTTGTACAGAAAATTCGAAAATGGGAAGAAGAAAACCGTCGACCACCTTGGCAAGAAATATCAAACCTATGCTCAGTAGTTAAGACGTATTGGGCCCAGTGGGACTCATTTATCATGGAAGATAGCTTGCTCAAACGAGTACTGGAAAATTATGACGGCTCAAAGAAGAGAAGACAGTTGGTGATTCCAAAGAACAGAATAGCCGAAGTACTTCGTCAGTTACACGACAGTCCATCAGGAGTGCATTTCGGAGTAAAGAAAACCCTTCAGCGAATTTGGGAACGGTTTAATTGGATGAACAGTTCCGACGACGTAAAAGATGGGAGTAAGAAATGTACTAATTGTGCTACGAGTAACGGGTCTTACCGAAAAAGAAGAGCTTCTATGAGACAATATAATGTTGGAAGCCCGTTTAAAAAAATAGCTTTGGACATTGCTGGGCCATTTCCAAAAAGTGAAATTGGAGGCAAGTACATGTTGGTAGTAATGGATTACTTCACTAAGTGGGTCGAGATTACGCACTTCCAGATCAGGATGCTGCCACCATTGCAGAAAAGTTGATTAAAGAATATATCAGCCTATTTGGAGTGCCGTTGGAGATCCATAGTGACCAAGGAAGGAACTTCGAAAGCGATCTATCCCAAGGAATATGTGATAGACTAGGCATGAAGAAAACAAGAACTACCGCATATCATCCACAATCGGATGGTATGGTAGAACGGATGAATAGGACAGTTGGCAAGTATTTGACAAAGATGGTGTCCGATCATCAGCGAGACTGGGACCAATATCTTCCGTTCTTCACAATGGCCTACAGATCTGCTGTTAAAGAATAAACAGGCCCGACACCAGCGAGAATTCTGTTCGGAAGCGAGATGCGACTACCTTCTGATCTAGAGTTTGGGTGTCGACCTGGAGAAGATGTAGCGGGTGAAGATTGTGTGATCGAATTACGAAGAAGAATTGACGATGTACACGAGTTGGTCCGTTCCTATCATCAGATCGATAGCGACCGAATAAAAAACGCTACGATACGCAAGCCGAAAAGTGGTACTTTAAGAAGAACGAAAAAGTCTGGCTCTATAATCCCAAGAAGCGAAAATGTTGTTCTCCCAATTTCCAGCAGTTTTGGGAAGGTCCATACCTCACTATGGAGAAGATCAACGATGTCATCTACCGAATAAGCAAGATTCCGAGGGGAAAGCAGATGATAGTACACCATAACCGGATGACGACGTTCGAAGGTGACCACGACGTAGATGAAAAAGTGGAAGTAAACCAAGTCCAAGATGTGTCTGACCTCACGTTTGAGGAATTCATGGGAGTCTAAGGAGGTACCGGTAAAGCAAGACATGTTGTTACCACTGAAGAAAAGCAAGATCTACACGCGCTTACCGATGACTACTCACTGACCCTTACCATCCCGGTATCGAAGACGCACCAGGGTTGGCATCCGTCTTTCGAAGGAAGTTTGGTCGAGTTTCATAATTTCAATGCCAAGTGCCAGCTCCCGGGAAAGCCTTGAAACTCCAAGATGCATCACGTTACCTTTTCTACCTGGTAACAAAAGACCTTGCCCGTGACCAACCTACCTACCGAGATGTATGGGAAGCCTTACTTCAATTGAGAGAGCACTTACTAGAGTCCGACGGTCAAAAGTTAGCTATGCCAAAGTTAGGGTGCCAATAATTAGATTGGAGGGTTATCCAAAGTATGGTGGAGGAGATCTTTAAAGGCACCGAAGTCCAGGTGTTAGTCTGTTGCAATCCGCATAGTTACTGGTGCGAAGAGAAAACCATCCCTTGATATTTTTATACAATTGGAAGTTGTAAAAGAGGGTCCAGTTGCCGATATCAGCATACCGTTTCAGTTCCAAACCTGACAATTGTTATTGATATCTAATTTTTGAGCAGTAGTGGCAAGGTGCTACCGTAGTATATCCAAATATATGTACTGGTTCATATTTCCGTAGATAAAATGCATATTACCTACTCCTGCGAATAACATACACCCCCACATCATGCCCCACCTTTACCGTCAGTTACCGTAGCTTTAATATTTTTTAATTTTATTTCTTTATTTGGCTTTCCCCACACCGATATGTTTTCATTGGACCCAAAAAAGTTTATTTTGGTTTTATCAGCAAATATTACTGAATTCTAAAAGGTCAAATTTTTGTTAATATGTTCCCTGGCCACGGGTGTAGTAAGCACTATACTGTGCCCTGGCTAACTACAATCTAATAAGTATGTTTTTTGGCTAATAAAATGTTTTATTTCTAGCAGTTCGACCATGTAGATTAGTCTTTCGTAATATCCGTCTAATTGTTTTGGGGTTACACCTTTTTCCAAACTGTCTTTCCACCTCATCTCACAAATTTGGTGCACTTTTAAGTATTATTTGCTTTTTCTCTGACAATCTATCGTTCTTCACGTTCGGTAAAAATTTTATTTGGAGCTAACCTTGATTTATTGTCGACTCTACTTTCATTTGGTAACGTTTAAGAATGTGCTAAACTGTTGATGAACGTTCATTTACCATTTCGGATACTTATGTCTCTTGGGCTATATCCGTTTCTATGGATAGTAATAATTAAATTTCTTTCGATAATCGTAGTTCGGAGCTGGCCACGTACCTCAGAGGTGGAGGCCATAAAACGAAAGAAGAAGAAGAATAATAGTTTTTCGGTGACCCATTCATAAATAATTTTATTATTTACCGATTAAATACTTTTAAATGTCAAATTAAAAATAAAATGAACTTCAATATGAATTTAATGTAACGCCTAGTTCGCAAATTTCAAATTGATTAGTTTTGTAATGCTTTATCTTATCTGCATCATTTAAGCTGTGACATCAAAATCATACATACAATAAATAAATATTTATTGTTATTTAAGTCTGGTATATCTGAAACCCAAAAAATAGTTTATGCTATTGTAGAAGACTTAAAGTAATTTAATTTCAGTATGTAATTTTTTTCTAATAAATATTGAGCCCCTGCACAAGCTAGTTTCATTAAGGAGCGACTGCGTCTTTAAAGCTGTGAGCCACTGTAAATGCATAGTTGCATGTGACATTAAAAAAAATCAATAACTCCTCTATAATATATATTAAAGTTGTTTGTCATTTTTCCATTTCTTTTTTTATACTAAAAACTGGAACCATTAATATTGTTCATAATATAGTGTTAATATGTAAATAAATATAAATGCCGTTTTGTTTAAAAACAAAAGTTATATTGAGTATCCAAATACTAGAAAAAACATCAAATATTTTTTTCCCTAAATACAAAATGTAACATATTACTTTATAATAATAAATAAATAATACATTTAAAATAAAAACCAATTGTCTAAAATTTTTAAATTTTTATATATGCAACCCAAATTACACTCTTGTAAGTAAAATCACCTGATTGCCAATAGATGATAAAAAAAGAGATATTTTTTTAAATACACAGGTTATGTATGTGGTATGTTACTTGGAAATAAAACTTTTAGTTCATTTATAGGTATGTATGTAAGGTATTTTTAGATTATAGATATACATTGAACTGTTGATAGAAACAGCTAATTTAGGTATTTCCTTCCTATTGAATTTTGTGAAAAAAATTGAGTTTTATATCTCATAAAAAATTTCAATTTGGATTGAGTGAAGTGACATTTCATTTTGAATAAGCAGAGGTGTAGTCGAGAATTTTTGTATAGGGATTTATTTTTTTTATTCATTTTTAAAATGATTTTTTATTCTGTTAGTATTAACAAAGAATATAAACGCTTATGAGCGTCTATATTCTTTTGTATTAAAATGTGACATAATGAAAGGTAAACTTTATGCAGGTGCTCTGTAGATGCTGCTAAATAGATATTTTCCTTTATTTATTCAGCCCACATTTCCTTCTTCTGCTTGTAGTGCCTATCCGTTTCGGATGTCGGCGACTTTAATATACTGGTCATTTTCTTGCGTGATACATGAAAATGGCCGGTTCAAGGTGTTGATGATGTTTTGATGTAGGTACCTACCTATTTCCTGAAATACATCACCCATTTCCTGAAATATATCACCTATTTAATTTTCCACTATTTACGGCATTGTTCACATAACCTAATATGTTTTTCAATCCCTGAGTAGAATTTTACCTTTTGACTTTCGAGTGACAGGTTATTTTGTAAGTCTTTTTTCTATTTCCTTACAATACTGTTCAAACCACAATTCTTTAGCCTGTTTGATTTTGCTTTGAATAAATTAATTATTTTCACGACAGTCAGCAGGATTTTAATCCTGTCTGATTTTGTTCTGGCATCATTATATCTATAAAATGCCCGTGGTTGTATTGTAAATTCAATATCCCTTCGTATATTTGTATGTATTCTCGTATGAATTCTATTACTTGTTGAGCGACCATTTGTATTCTAAATGTAATGTATTCTTTCGCTAATGTCTTTGTTTTCTCTGTTACGGCGTTAGTCCTTGAAATATTTCTTGCATCCATTTTGTGAGTGGATCTTGAAATCTGTTAAGGTGTCTGTTTATACATATAGTTAATGGATGCTACTGTTTCCAACATAATCTTTGTCTGATGTTGTCCTGCTTTTATTAGTTCCGTTTGATTTTTATCGATGCCTCTATGTCCCAATATGCTTCATTTTCTTCTTCTTCTTCTTCTTCTTCTTCTTCAGCCTTCATTTATCCATTTTTGGACGTACGCCTCCTTCAATTGCTTCCACGCTTCCCTATCTTTTGCAATTTTCATCCACTGCTTTCCAGCTACAGCTGTTATATCGTCTATCCATCTCTTTTTGGGTCTTCCCACGCTTCTTTTTGTTTCTCGAGGTCTCCAGAATGTCACTTTATGCCACAATCTGTTGGTTGTCTTGCTACATGTGCTACCCATTGCCATATCAATGTCGCTATTTTTTTTGCTTGCGTTATTATTCACTCCAAAAAGAGATGTTAGTACGGTTCCTAATACTCCTCTCTTTTTTCTTTGTTTTGTTTCGATTGACAGTAATTGACTTATCATTTTTGCTCTTTTTTTTTCTTCATTTAATTTATATAGTATGTCATCACAATTTATTATGTTTCTAGTTAAACACATGTGATGTAATTCTTGTATCATTGTTCCTATCATTTGTTCGTCTTCTCGAATTTCTTTAGTTGTACAGTTGCGGTCACGGAATAGTTTACAGGTTCACGTATCTAGGAGCCCATTTTTTAAATTTTTACTTCGTTTAAACGCACCTTTTACGTCAAAGTGACGTTGCCAGTGGTGTACTAGCTAGAATAGGTAGATTAAAATTAAAATATCAAAATATTTTACAAAATGAAAAATATAGAAAACAGTTTTTTGAATAAAATGGATTATGATCTTAATAACGAAAATAAAGAAGTCTTTTTTTTAATATGCATTTTATTTTAAATCTATTTTATATTAAATAACGATAAACAATGATAAATAATAATTAATATTTGGTGGAAGCCCATTCTTGTCAATACAATTTTGCAGTCTTCTGTTCATAGATAGCACCAATCCCCTCATGTTATAGTTAACAAGCTCTTCCCATGCCTGCTCAATTGCTTCCCATAATTCAATTCTATTCCGTGGTCTAAGGTTTCTTTCATTTAGTTTCTTTGTTAACTCTGCCCTCACATTTTCGACGGGGTTAAAGTCTGCACTACGGGAAGGCCACGGAAGAACATTAACATCAGTTTCTTCTAGCCATTCTCGAACAATTCTACTCGTATGCACCGGGCAATTGTCATGTTGGAAGATAAAGTCGTTGTTGGGGAATCTCTGGATCACCGATGGCAACATTGTGTGCTCAATAATATGTTTGTAATATAATCCTGTTAACTTCTCCTCTACATGATAACAAACGCCCGGGCCTTCGGCACTTATCCATCCCCATACGTTGACAGAGAATCCTCCACTATTTCTTAAATGATGCGTATACTGTTCATCATACCTATGATTTCTCGGCCTATAAACTCTTATTCGACCATTATTATACGACTGAAATACTTTTTCATCGGAAAATACAACCCTAGACCAAAAATTCTCATCGCGGTTTATAAATTCATTACAAAATTCAACTCGTCTCCTCTTGTGATCCTCAGTCAAAAAAGGTTTCCGTGCAGCTACACAATTTAGCAGTCCACTTGCTTTAATTCTTCGACGTGCAGTGCGAATACTGCCTGAAAACGCTGCCTCTTCTCTTGCCTTTTGAGCTGTGGCAAAAGGAGATTCTCTCAAATAATCTACTAACATCTCATCCTGTTGATCTGTGGAAATCTTCTGCCCTCCTGAACCGCCCAACCGTGCTATAGAGTGAAAATTATCCCATCTTTGTTTAATCTTCCATATGCACATATGACTCTCGTTCAAATCAGCAGCAACTTGCCTTAGTGACCAACCATAATTCAAATGTATTCTAACCATTTTGGAAGAGTTTAATATACTTTTATTTATTGTTGAACACTCGCGAAAGCATTGACGTTTTGAAATTTTTTGACTTTGACATTTATCAAATCCGTACGACACTGCAATTTTACAGTATTACAATATAAAAAGTAAGGTGTAAACTATTCCGTGACCGCAACTGTACTTTATTCTAAAGGTTCCCCTGTCTATCAACACATCTCCTAACTTCTTCTGGTAGCACTACAACCTGGGGTGGGTCTTGGCTGACTGCACAACCTGCTTCCATCTCGAACGGTCGTCCATGATGTTTAAGTCAGTGGGTAGCCCCATTGTTCTCAAATCTGACTATATATTATCTCTCCATCGCATTCGTGGACGTCCTAAGGGCCTTCTCCCTGTCGGAACTTCTTCCCAGATTAACTTGGTAAGGCGGTTATTAGGGAGCCTATGAACATGGCCAGCCCATCTTAGACGTTGGGATTTAATCTCTAGGACTACGTCGCTAGCACTATACATTTGTTTGACCTCGGCATTTGTTCTCATTCGGCATTGGTTAGTATTCGGATCGTGATAGGGACCGAAGATCTTTCTGAGGATTTTTCTCTCAAAGCATCTGAGTTTACGTTCCATTGCTTTTGTCAGCATCCACGTCTCACACCCATACATGAGCACCGATCTAATTACTGTTTTATATATCCTGATTTTTGATGTTCGTGTTAGGCTCTTGGATTTAATAGTGTTGTGGAGGGTATACATACATCTGTTTGCTGCCTGAATTCTTCCTTTTATCTCTTCCGTGATATCGTTATCTGTGGTGATAGTCGCTCCGAGATATTTAAAACTCTCCACTCTTTCAAAGTTATAGGTTTACAGTTACAGTTTACAGTTTAGTTAGGATACATCTCCTAACGTTTCAGTATAATCCTGGTTCGAGTTTGTATATTTTGTATAATTCTATTTGTGTCTATTTAAAATGTCTCAAGATTTTGTGAAAACTTGTAATAAGCATACCTTGCAGATGTAATCCTTTATATTGGGCTAGAGAAGGTGCTTAATGCTATTAACTACTTAATTGAGGATTATTATTACTAGTAAAATTATATATATATATATATATATATATATATATATATATAAAATATAGATATTCCAACTTTTCTTCTTTTTAATAATATTACTTTGTTTTTTAACCAGGAGGAGTAAACCAAAAAGACAGATTCACACCCAAGAAAGTTACTAGAAAAGTCACCAAATACATCTTCTTTTTTTGTTGTATATCTCGGCCTTGCGGTAATCGAGTAATCAATATCGGACAACCTTACCTTACACGTCAATTCTAACCTAACTTTATGTTTGAATAATATTTTTTTTAATTCACTTCCTATCAGAGATATGTAAGATCTTTCTTACATATCACTGCTTCCAATATATATTACAATTATTATAATAAAAAGGACGTTTTTCACATTTGGTCCCATGTATATGTATTTAAATATCGGGTGATCCAGTTTTATAGATCTTTTGAGTCGATGGTACTTAATTTAGAGAATATTTTGATCCAGAGAGTCAATAATGTTACAGATCTAAGTATGGTTTTTCTCAGAAATTTGTCTTTTCATTTGCAAATAGATCTTATATGCAACAAAGCTATGCAAATGCATGTATCAAAAAGTTAGAGAGGGTTCAAAGATTTCTGAAATACTGTTCTTTTAAACTACGTAGATATTCTTATTTTGGTGTGATTAATTTCTTGAATCTAGGTTTTTTTCTTACCAGAAGAATTAACTTTGACTTTGATCATTATTTTTAAGCTTAATAATCCAATCTCCTAATTGCTTCAGCCAGTTTGTTTTACATATTCCTTCCCATTCACAGCTTTAGAATTGACTTTTTCATGTTTCATATCATAGAATAAATTATGGTTCAAATATAGGTGTGGTCCTACTTTTCATGCATGGTAATCAGTTAGCTCATTAGATAGATTTAACTTATGTATCAATATCTTAAGGATCTATTTGAAGCACTAAAATGCAAAACAATAAATTTGTATAAATAAGTGTGTACTTGCAATTTCTTTAATGTTGGATTCTTGTTTAATTTTGACAGTGAGTTTGTCCCATTTGTTATCAATAAATAAAATTTACTAAAAAATACTGGATTTCTGTGAGATAATCAACTAATTCAATCTATTATGTTACATTCTAGTATAATTTTGTAGTTTTCTTGTGATGATCTACAACAGGAAGAACAAAACCAACTGTATCAATACAATCAAAGTAAAACACAACATTACTAATGTTCTTTTATCGTGATGAAAACAAATGAAAATACTTCTTAACAAGTATACACAATTATTATATATATTAGCTAGAAAAATATCACATTAAATACTATTATCGCATATCACCAAGTCCAAGTTATTACAAAAACAACTTAAATAGTCAGAAATCGATTTATATAATATTCTGTGCATAATATATATTCGGAATGAATGTAAAAATAAAAATTTAATAATTTTATTAGTCTTCCAAAATCTCTCCATTTATGTCTTGGTGAGATTAATGAACAACTACACCATTTTGAATTTCTTGATTTATTTTTTCAGCAAAAACTGAATCTATTTCAGATATTTGAGCAAGAAAGTTTTGTTTTTGGTCAGCAGCCCAATGTATAAACTATTCTTTGAATAATTTCCCCTAAAAAATAACTATGGTAAGACATTCATAATATAGACAATAAATCAATCATCCTATAAACAGTAAGATAAACAATCTATAGTTATGCTATGTAATATTTGCTGCATTGAATCTGCATATGTAAAGTAAAAATATCCTTTTTTTCCTTTTCTTCCCTTTCCATGTTCTTATATCTGTTGAACCAAAATACTTGACAACATTCCAGTAGAGTATACAAATAAAAACTTAATATTTAATAGTAACAATAATATACCTGATTATAAAAATGAAATCTATAAAATGTTTTAGTTAATTTTACTATATAATTGTAGCTAACCCATATTTACATACCGATATTTGTACTTACTTCAAATTGATTTGCTTAAAGAATTTATATAATAATGAACGACACATATTTTGGAAGATCTGAGCGGTTGTTAATTTCACTTAAAATTTTACCTAAAGTGAGCATTTCATTCTTGAAAAAGAAGCTGTGTACTATCTGTCGTATAGATGTTTTAACTCTTTCATCCTATGTTGCAAGAATATAAGGTCGACCTTCAATATTTTTAGGACATTTTACTGCTCCAGTCTGCTTATATTCTTTAATTGTTCTAAATTCTATTGTTGTAAATAGTTGAATTCGCAACACCTAAAATTAGCACATTACTTTAGTAAGTCTTGATTTTAATAATAACTATTCTGTAAAACTAACCTGCTGCCTGTTTTATTTTTACTACCGTGGCTGTTATTTTTATTCCAGAATTATCAATTTTCATGTTTGTACATGTTTATAGTACATTATTTCTCATTTGATGATAAATGATCCAAATTTACTCGGCGTTTTTAAGGTGAAGAAGAATAATTACCACTAGTACTTGACATTGAATCCATATTGTTATCTTAATATGTCGCTAAATAGTTCTGAAAAGAACTATTTTTTATATAAATGCAAACGAAAAATCTAAAGATGTAAGAAATAACACAGAAAATACAGAAAATTGTCGATATAAATTTTGAATTTTAAAATTTCACAAATGTGAATTACATTTCACGACCAATTACAAACAAGCATTATGGCGCGGAAAATTTGAATAACTCCTCCTGGTTTAAAAACAGACCATAGTAGTTATTGCATTAAAATAAATAAACTGATACTTTTTTATTACATAAAATTTTATCTATTTTATGTTAATATAAAAACAATATCTTAATTAATATTTGATAAAACATTAGAGGTGATTTGAAGTACACAGTATTATTAATTAAAAAAAATGTACAAAATAAACTCCACTTTAACTGACGCATTGTACATTTACTCCAGGATATTTCTCAATCAAAAGACTTTTAACCATGGAAGAATCTTCAGGACTTTCCTTTATAAATCTTAAAGATTCCATTTCACCCTTTGAGCTCGTTGCTGAATGGTTCCAAGAAGCGGCAAAATTTGGCATAACTAGCCATTTTTTTAATTTGGCTACATGTAAAAAGTAAGTTTAACATATAAAAATAATAGTTCTGATGAAAATAACCTATTCTGTTCTAGATCTGGTGAAGTTTCAAACCGATCTCTGCTCTTACACGACTTTGTAAATAATTCTTTTAGATTTATAACTAGTGAAAAATCTCTCAAAGGACATGATATGGTAATTAATTACGCACAATTTTTATAGTCTAATTTAATTTAGTCACATATTTTTTATTTATATATACCATTTTTGAATCAATCTTTTTTATTAGATTTTATTCGTTTTTATAAGATAATTATGTCACAAAGTATTAAGCTTTAATCAATATTTCCACTGTTAAATATCCAAAAGTAAAAATCTAATTTTTGTTCTATCAGCTCTAGTTTTAAAATCAAATATTTAAGGGTTCATTTATATTGCTGCAATGTATTTCCATACCACCTTATTTATTGTCAGTAAGATGATTTAATATTCCTACATTATAGTGATTTTGCCCGTCACGTCACATGCAACGGGGTATCCAATTAATTGCTCTACAGAGTCACTCATTAAATTTTTACAATAATAAACTTCTTGCATGTGAACCAAGTACTTAAATATAACGTAAGATCTGGTGCACTTCTGACCTGACGTCATGTTTTTTAGTATAACCATATATATATATATATATATATATCATATATATTATATATATATATATATATATAAGCAAAAGTAAAAAGTAATGGCATGTCTCGCAAACAGAAAACCAAAAATGGTATATCGTTGGAAGGCAAGGGAAAGGATCACTACAGGAGCAATGCAACAAATTTGTGGACCCTGATGGTTTCCAAGGCAACAACTAACACCAACCACGGAGGAAGCTACAGCTACCTGGGGAAAGGAAGGCCAAACGTTGAAACGTTTAAAACAAATGGAAAAGGATAATGCGAGTGAATGATAAAAGTAAAAAGTAATGGCAACGTTTAAAACCAAATGCAAAAGGATAATGCAAGTGAATAATAAAAGTAAAAAGTAATGACATACGCCATTACTTTTTACTTGTATTATTCACTCGCATTATCCTTTTTCATTTACTTTAAACGTTTAAACCTTTGGCCTTCCTTCCCCCAGGTAGCTGTAACTTCCTCCGTATTTGGTGTTAGTTGTTGCCCTGGAAAGAATCAGGCTCTTCTAACTCTAATGTACACAAATTGGTTACATTGCTCCTGTAGTGATCCTTTCCCAAGTTAATATGCTCCTTTTCTAACTTGGCTGCACTGTACTAAAGACGACCAATAGTCAGAAATACGTATATATATACAGTTGCCTTCCATCGATATACCATTTTTGGTTTTCTGTTTTGCAAGACATGCCATTACTTTTTACTTTTATTATTCACTCGCATTATCCTCTTCCATTTTTCTTTCATATTACACACATACACACACACACGCACACACACACACATACACATATATATATATATATATATATATATATATATATACATATATATATATATATATATATATATATATATATATATATATATATATATATATATTCTGTACCTCGGTGCTAAAACGACCAATGTCAAAATTTCTTGTTTTGAGTAATTCAGGTTTAAAGATTATATATATATATATATATATATATATATATATATATATATATATTTACAGGGTGGTCCTTAAGTAATTGTACAAAAAGAAACTAAATTCTACACTTCTAAGATATTACAAAACAGAAGAAAATGTTCCAACTGACAACATACCAAAGGTTCTAAAACCAGGGCTCGGAAGACATACTAGATGTTACTGTTGATGAAATCAAAAAAGCTCTCCTACAAATGAAAAATAATAAGTCACCTGGCGACGACGGGGTCGTTGCCGAAGCCATAAAATTAGGAGGCGAGAAACTGATACAAATGCTTTCCATACTTTTCACAGAATGCCTTGAAAGAGGAACAACACCATCACAATGGCAAAATGCAGTGATCATTCTAATGTTTAAGAAAGGAGATTTAACAAATCTCGTAAAACTATAGACCAATCAGCCTCATCTCACACATATACAAGCTTTTTACAAAAGTCATAACAAACAGACTTTCGAACAAAATGGACTTTTACCAATCATGCGAACAGGCAGGATTCAGGTCAGGCTTCGGCACAAACGACCATCTACAAGTTATTAAAAGCCTCATCGAAAAATGTATAGAGTACAATAAACCCCTCGTCCTAATATTTGTGGATTATGAGAAAGCATTCGACAAACCACCAGAAAATGCTAGAAGCTTTAAAAGAGTGCCGAATAGGTCACCGCTACACCACTGTCATCAAAAATATCTATGATAATGCCACGGCATGCGTCAGACTCCATGAAGATACACACAAGTTCAACATTCATCGTGGAGTTCGTCAGGGCGACACCATTTCACCAAAACTGTTTACAACATTATTGGAATACATGTGTAAGCGTGCAAACCTAGACGAAAAGGGCATAAACATAAATGGAGAGCAGCTTAGTCACCTCAGGTTCGCGGACGATATAGTCCTGATAACAGACCGCATAGATCATGCCATCGAAATGTGCGAAAGACTCTACCATGCCTCTACACAAGTGGGTTTAAAGATCAATAACTCAAAAACACAAGTAATGACAAACCTTGTTCTGAGTGAGAACATCAACATAGCTGGAACAAGTATAGAACAAACATCAACATACAAATATCTGGGACACGAAATTCGCTTAAGTAGAGATAACCAGACCAATGAACTAATACGTAGAATAGGGTTGACATGGGCAGCTTATGGAAAGCTAAGAGATGTTTTCCAATCAGCTCTTCCCATCTGCTTGAAGAGAAAAGTCTTCGATCAATGTGTGCTGCCGATTCTAACCTATGGTGCGGAGACGCTAACACTTACTAAGACGTCCGCAAACAAAATTCGAACAACACAGAGGGCAATGGAACGGTCCATGTTGGGATTAACCCTGAGAGACCGAATACCCAACACAGAATTGCGCCGTAGATCGGGAGTAACCGACGGAATCAAAAGAATATCAACCTTAAAATGGAACTGGGCAGGGCACGTCGCGAGAACGAAGGACGGCAGATGGACAAAACGCATTCTTGAGTGGAGACCCAGACAAGATGCCTTTAGGAATAGAGGACGACCACCAACAAGATGGACGGATGACCTGAAACGGACACATCAAAATTGGATGCAGGCGGCTCAGGACAGAAATTTGTGGGGTGAACTACGGGAGGCCTATGTTCAGCAGTGGACGAGTATGGGCTGAATGATGATGAAGATATTACGATTTAAGCCAAATTGCTTTAATAAAATGTTGATATTAAGAAAGATACAGGGTGTTAAAGTGGAAATTTAAAATTTTAATTTTCGCTATAACTTTTATGTGTGTGAACATTTATGTATAAAAATTTATAACTGAGTACTATTGAACATCAGGAATTATAATTTGATGCATACTTTAATGTAGCTGATAAAAGGCGCTAAATATGCCACATCTGTGGCATACATTTGCACTTAACTTTTTTGCTCTTTAAGTTACCAGTGTTTGTGTTAAAAAATATTTAAGATACATTATGTTAACAAAAAAAGGTATACTTGTTAATAACTTCAAAACTCAACAGTTTTGTAGTTACAGTAAATTTCCAGTTTAACACCCTGTATCTTTCTTAACATCAACATTTTATTAAAGCAATTTGGCTTAAATCGTAATATTTTAAAGTGTAGAATCTACGGTTTCTTTTTGTTCGATTACTTAAGGACCACCCCGTATATACAGTCTACACGATTGTACAATTACTTAAGGACCACCCTGTATATTGATGGCGAGCTATATGTACATTTTATTTTCTATACTTCTGACGATATTTAATTTGATGTGTCATATGCTAGGATTCGGCTATATATAATAATTTTAGTTTTACTTTGATATCTCTTGAGTGGAATTGTTTTATTGTTCGGACCTATTATCATCTAACTCTCTGATGATAATAGGTCCGAAAAACCTCCATCCTACATATGTAATGACCACTTACCAATCACATCAAATAAAGTGGAAAATGCAATATCACAAAAAAGATGGCAAAGCTCCTGAACCTGACAATGCTTATGCTGAACTTATAAAGCTATTTAACATCGACGATACTCAACGACTAACAACAATATTCAATGACATATATTTAAACGGAGTAATACCAAGATCATGGCTGAAGTCAACGTTTATTGCTCTACCAAAGAAAACAAAATCCGTATCCTGCAATGATTTCCATCATCATCATCATCATCATCCAGCCTCTATTTATCACGTCCACTGCTGGACATAGGCCTCCCTTAAACTCCTCCATTCCTCACGATTTTGTGCTCTTTGTTGTCAATTTGTAATTCTGCTCGTCCATCGTGAATCTTGCATTCTCGCTACATGGCCTGCCCAGTTCCATTTTAGTTCCGCTATGCGTTCCACAACATCAGTAATACTCGTCCTTCTTCGCAGATCTTCGTTTCTTATTCGGTCCCTCAACGTCACTTCCATTGGTCCGCCGTGGTCTTGGTTAAAGTCATAGTTTCCGCCCCATAGGTCATGACCGGTAATACGCATTGGTCAAACACTTTTCTTTTGAGGCTGATTGGTATGTTGGCCCTAAGTGTGTCTCGCAGTTTTCCAAAGGATGCCCATGTTAAAGTAATTCGTCTTTGGATCTCACATGTTTGGTTATCCCTGCTGATTCTTATTTCATGACCCAAATACGTATATTTCTCCACCAGTTCTACCACTTTGTCTTGAATAGTCAAATGGTTATTGGGGACCAAATTTGTCATAAACTTAGTTTTGGTCAAGTTCATTCTCAGGCCCACCTTCGAACATGCAAAATCCAATTCGTTTAAACGAATTGGATAAACGAATGATTTCCATACAATCAGCTTAATGAGTCACATTTTAAAGTTATTTCTAAAAATCATACATCAAAGGATATATCATAGAACATGCGAAGAAAAAATCAGCAGTACACAGTTTGGTTTTCGGAACGCAGTGGGTACGAGAGAGGCTCTCTTTAATATATAAGTGCTATTTCAACGATGTAGAGATGTGAATTGCGATATTTATGCATGCTTTATAGATTATCATAAAGCAGTAAAACACGACAAGCTGAATATTAACAAATATTGGAATAAACACCTGGATTTAAGAATTATTAGCAATCTTTACTGGAATCAAACATCGTCTATCCATACATAGGCAGGAGAATCCGATGATATCAAAATCAAACGTGGCGTCCGTCAGGGATGTATACTATCACCACTGCTGTTTAACATATACTCTGAGGAAATCTTTTAAGAAGCTGTAGAAGATGTTGAAGCTGGAATTTGCATTAACGGGAAATGTATCAATAACATTAGATACACGGATGACACGGTGGTATTTCTGACAGTCATGAAGTCCTCCAGGAGTTAATGAATAGAATCACAGAAGTGAGTCAGAGATATGGACTTTCACTAAAATTAAGAATACAAAATGTATGATGGTCTGTAAGAAGGAACAGCACATTGAAAGAAACAGTGTAAATGGTCAACCAATAGAAAGAGTAAAAACATATACCTACCTTGGTACGAACGTCAATTAAAATTGGGACCATTCTCTAGAAATAAAATCTAGGATAGAGAAAGTAAGATCTGCATTTCAAAAAATGGTTAAGATATTCAAATGCCACGATTTATCAGTATCCATAAAAATCCGGTTATTGCGATGTTATATCTTTCCTATACTGTTGTACGGAGTTGAGTCGTGGACTCTCACAGACGCTATTTGTAAAAAAAAAATTAAGGCTTTCGAATGGGGCTTTGTTGTAGAATCCTGAAGATATCCTATACCGACCACGTTAATAACTATTAAGTTTTATTAAGAATGCAAAAAGGAAAAGAGTTGTTAATCACAATAAAAACAGCTAAAATTGAATACCTCGGTCACATTATGAGGAATAGCGAAAGATATGGGTTGCTGCAATTAATTCTTCAAGGAAAAGTAGAAGGAAAACAAGGACAAGGAAGGCGAAGAATTTCCTGGCTGAAAAATCTACAAACGTGGTTCAACACAACAACCACAAATCTTTTCAGAGCCGCAGTTTGCAAAATACAGATTGCCATGACTTATTTGTAAGGTTTATTCGTCTTTTAATTTCGTCGCTTGTTTTGTTCATATTAGTCACTAGCAAGCCAAGGTATGTGAAGCTGTCAACACGTTCAAAGATTTGACTTTTAAAGACTTTTTTCCATTCCTCATTTGCTATAGCAATATATAGCTTAGTAACTACCATGTTCTTGGTCTGGTGTTCGTTGATGACTAGATCGACCTGTTTCGCTGCCGTTTCTAATTCTAGGAAATATTGCTCAACATCTCACTTGTTACGCCCTAATACATCAATGCCATCAGCATATGCTAAGATTGGTATCGATCTATTGTAAATAGTACCGCTGTCTCTAATGTATGTGGCTCGGACTGCCTTTTCCAAGACAACTTTAAAAGCCAGGGCATCCAATTGTCTGAGTCCATCCGTTATCTAAAAAGATCGAGAACTTTCTCCCTGTTATCCTAATAAGGACTTTTAAGTTGACTGAAGTTGTCATTCTCGTTAATCGGATTAGTTTTTCTGGTATACCAAACTCACGCATGATTCTTGCCATTACAAGCTCTGATTTTTTTTAGGATATTTTTACTTTTTTTAGGACAAAGTATTTATTTTATGATAATGTTACTTTGTCTTGTGCAAGATTTCTTTATTTTCATTTTGGATCATCGCATATGTGATTAAATAAACTTGATTAAATATGTGATTAAATATTATAAAACTTAATTATTTCAGGATGAAAATCCGAATGTCGCAGCTTGTTTTCTTTTAAAATATTTGAATGATGAGAAATCTCCAGTAATTAGACAGGTAGGTATTTATTTAATATTTATATATTATTTGACGATGTTAGTGTGATATACTAACACCATTTTTTAAAATTTTTAGTTTTACACTTTAGTTTTATACTTTTTGAACTGTCTTGGGAAAAATAAAAACGACCTTCAATGGACCATCATCAATCAACTAGGGCTGTGTTGGTTTTTATAAAATAGAAAGGAGTTAAAACAAACAAGTACAGGCTTTCACAGTCGTTGTTTTATAATGCTACATTGTGATCAGGTTTGCTCAGACGTTCTAATGATTTATTTTTTCCTTAAATTTCGTCAACAGCTGCAACAGACGTCAGCAGTATCAAAGACGATGTAGCAATCAACGTAACTGTGTTTTTTGGATGATGTTGGGTATTGATGTCTGGAGTGCTCCGTTGAGGCAAATTTTTTGCCTTATCGTATTGTATATCCAGTTTGTGTGTATGCACTGAATTTTAAAATTTTCTACCACTGGTGGCCGTTTGTCTGCGGTCCTGCGAACGAGATAAATTTCAGAGAAGAGAAGGTTTACAGAAAATAACAGTTCTTTTACATTTTTTTATCTGAATAGGTGTCTCGAACATCTGTACTATTTATAGGTTTAGAGTGTCCCCAGAATCTATCGGTTAAACCAAATCGATACTGGTAGGTTCGGTGTATATAGAAAGGTTTTGAATTTTGTAGCAGTGAGTTTCACATTGTAGTTAGATACAGACCATATCCTTTACGATTAACTTAATTGTATGTTTTGGTGTAAATCTTTGTTTTTGAATAAAAGTTGGTAGTTGTCTTATGTAATGGTATGTTTTGCGATTGATTTCTCAAAGGGACGAAGGAAATCCATCATTTTGTTTTTTTCATTGGTTTTCCTAATGTTAACTTTTTTTGAGATCTAACGATCTTTTTTCAAATCAGTGACATAATATATAGAATTAATAGTGCGTGTTCTTACTATTGCTATTCTTTCAATCAATTATTTAACTGATTTCAGATAAGGTGTCAAGGTAGTGTTATTAAACTACCGTATGAGGAAACTGCAAAATATTATGAAAAAGATCCATTGTTTTCTCAAATACGATCTCATATATGTAAGCAAGGCGAAAAAGTGGATTGGAATGAATTGAAAGTAAAACACGATGAATTACTAAAACAAGTTAAATCAGGATTAAAGCTAAAAATGCCCGAATATCAGTAAGTATTCATTTTAAATACACATATGTATCTCTTTAATTCTTATTTTCACTATTACTTAAATAATATGTCACGCAAAATGGCTAGAGAAAATTAAAATATTTAGACACATTCAAATATCAAAACAATAAATAATGAATTAATGACTATTTCCTTTCTCTCTTTAATGTTCATTTAACTCACTTTGCCCTTCTCCGTCTATGCATTTCATATTTTAAGATTGTTGATGATTTCTTACGGATATCATTCCATACTTCTTAAGCACCATCATAATTACGCGAGAGTTGCAGGAAGATTTACTCTGTTTAAGACGGTTTCTATAAATATCCCAAACTATATCTCATAAATGTTCTTCTTCTTCCTAAGCTTTTCCTTTTCAGGACTCGCTCTTCCTTACTCTTCGTCGCCACTTATCTATGTCCACTGGTTATTCTTCACCTAAACCTTTCTCTCTCAAGTTCTCTGCCACACAGTCCTTCCATCTTCTCTGCGGTTTTCCCCTACCTCTCCTTTCATCAACTTCTAACAGCTCTATACTTGGTCCCACATAGTTTTGGAATCTGGAGTCCCTGGAATCTTCTTTCCAGGCCACACTTCACAGCCGTGCACCAACGCAGGTCTTACCACACTCTTGTATATCTTTCCTGTCAACTCTACTCCGATTTTTCGATCACAAAATATCCCGCTCATACGCTTCCAGTTAAACCAACCTGCTTGTATCCTGTGTATTTTCCGTTATTTAATAGCCAAGGTATTTGAATTCTCCTACTTGTCCTAGTTTTTCTCCAAGCAATTCTATGTCCCCATTCCTCTTCTTCCCAACCACATATACTCTGTTTTGGACCTGCTAACCTTAAGTTCTCCCTCTTCAATAGCCCTTCCCAAACACTTCAACTTCTCTTCCAACGTTTCTTTGCTTTCTCTACTAACACGATATCATCAGCAAAGATCATTATCTGTGAGTATATCCATAACAAGATTAAATACGCAAAGCCTTGAAGAACCTTGATGCAAACCAACCTTGTCTAGGAACTGTGTCGTACTCCTTCTCAAGATCTATAAATACCAAATATTGCTCTTTTTTCTCGCTGAATTTCGCTGATTTGTTTCCAAGAAAACACAGCATCTGTTGTCCTCCTTCCTAAATGGCATAAATTCAAACTATTCTTTTTCTATCAATGTCTCTGTCCTTAACCTTCGCCCTACAATTATCTCCCAAATTTTCATTGTGTTCGATATTAACTTTATCCCACTATATTTCTTACAGTCCAGAATGTCCCTTTTTTTCTTTATACAATGATATCATCACACTCTCTCTCCATGCATTGGGCATCTTTTCCTCCTCGTATATCACACTCGTCATTTGCCACAAAATATCAACTCTTTCCTCTCCTTGGACCTTTCAAACCTCCACAGGTATGACATCAAGAACTATGGCCTTACCATTATTCATCCTATTTAACGCCCGACAACTTCATCTCATGGTATCCCCGGCATTATATTCTCATTTGTCCTCGGTCTTTTCTCTGGTGTTATTCATTTAGCAACTTTATAAAGTACTGATACCATCTTAGCTTTATTTCAACATCGGTTTTTAACACTCTTTCATCCGAACTTTTAATTTGCCGCACGTGGGTCAAGTATATTGATAGCTTGTTCCTTGCTTTATCAATGCTGTATAACCTTTTTATTCCCTCGGGAGTTTCCATCTCCTCATACAGTTGTGCGAACAGTCTTTCCTAAGCAGCAGCTATAGTGCGCTTTGCTTTTTTCTTTGCTATCTTGTATATATCCTTATCTTCCTCACTTTTAGACCTGTTATACCTCTTTCTAGCCTCTTTGTATTTTTTTAACCTTCCGTTGTACTTCGTCGGTTCACCACCAATTTTCTTTGTCTCTGGGTTGTATCACCCTGTACTAGATGTTTTTCCTAGCAATTTCTCTCCCACTCGCACCACAACTTTACTGTTGGCTTTCCACCAGTCATTTCATATCTTTTTTCTCAACCTGCTCCGGCACTCTACCCTTAAGAGCTATGTAGTTATGTTATCCTTTAACTTCCATCACTTTACTTTCTGGTGTTCTACTTGCATTTCTTTCCGCGTCACCTTTATCTCCGTATCCACTATCACCGGTCGGTGTTGACTAGCTACATACTTACCCTTTATCACTTAAAGTTTTTAACCTCTTTTAGCTGACTTTTTCTGCATAGCGCAAAATCTACCTGACTTTCTATTTCCTTGCTACCATAGGTAACATACTGGTCTTCAGTTCATTAAGAAAGTATTAATGACAGCCAAATCCATGCTACTGCAAAGTCAATCACACTATTTCCTCCATCTTTTCTTAATCCCATGCCCAAACTTTCATGAACTCATGACTTTCACGTTCTTATTGCCTGTATTAAATTGGACATTCATTATTCTATCATTTCTTATTCTGGTTACCCTTACAAGACGTTCCTGCCATTCGTTGTTCTAAATATTACCTACTCCATTTTTGCCTTGACTGTGAACTACTATATATTAGCTTGCATCCATTTCCAAGAGCTCTCGACGAGCTTCCTTTACCTGTCATGCTTCTTACATTGAGAGTTGCAAATCTCAGGACTAGATTCTTTGACCTCTTCTGTCCTCTAAGTGGTAGCCTTAGCTCACTATTCGCAGGAGTCAGGCGAGGCAGCACCTGAACGTCTCTTACGAGGAACGCCCTAGCTTCTAAACTATTTTCCAAATATCGTTTTAACTGCCGGATGCCTTTCTGTGACACAAACTCACTTTGATTATCGATTATTACAGTGTGGACCGAATCTGGTTTCAAATGAGAAGAGCACAGTTTGTCACTTAATAACGCTTTTTTGTCAACTAACTAGTCTAGTTACCCATAAAGTCCTTTTAGATATTAAATTGGTAGTTGTAAATCTTTTTCCAATTGAAGTGCAAGATAGTACTTTACAGTATGTTCTTAAACCTGTAAAAACCTTTATGGTACATACATACTATTTATGTTATCAATTTTCGTGAAATATTGTCTTACGGTGTAAGTTATTTATTCTACCATATATTTATACAAATTGCAGCCACCGACATTATATGTGTACCCAAAAAGGTCATTAACCAATAAGAATTTTTTTAAATTCTTTTCTTTCTTTTTAAGACATTTTCTTCAATTTTACAAAAAAGTAAAGAATTTAAATAGGTACATAGTTTCGCTTATCCTATATTATATGTATGTTATATAACATACTTTAATTTTGAAACAAAAATATATATTAACAGACTTATTTTTGCAGGGTTGGATATGAAATACACCCACGTTGTTTTGATTTCTACCATTCTATAGGAAGTGAAATTGCAGACAGGATCATATTTGAGAAATCAAGTGATGGCTCTTGGAGTTTTCACCGTGTGGCAACTTAAAATATTTTAATTTTTCTTATGTTAAATATACAAAAAGCATATAATAATATTGGAAATTTTATTTATAATGTTGAGATATTTGTTAAGAGATTAAAACTTTTATTGCGTTAGTGAAAAGTAACGCAAAATTTGTATCATCAAAGCACAGGAAAATTAGATTGATGATAAGCACGTATCCCCTGGATTCCCCACTGCTAATATATTTTGGATAAAACGAAGCTTGGTAGATAAGAGACTACTGGGCAAATGGAATACTCGAAGAGAACCAAAATTAGGGACTGTAGACATCAAGATTAATACTTGATGATGACCTGGTTATATTAGCTGACGGCACCTTGAATGGCAGTCAGTGATATAATGTCAATGTTGTACAGTTACAGAATGGACTTAAACAGTACGGCTTTACATATACACACAAAATTCAAAAATCATTAAATTTAAGGAGATAAGGAATTTAGAATGATTCGCCAAACCTGAATAATACAAATCTAAATTTGGCGAGTGGAGTACCTTACTGAAGTACCTGACTCTCGAGGCTTATTTGAAATCAACAGACAGAACGAATATAACCAAGAGAGCCGAGGTTAATGGTAACAGATTCCTGGAAAAATGTGGGGTTCAATTACTATTTCTATTGGGAATAAGCCACAATTTAACTTTAAAATAAGTTTATTTTTACGTTTTAATTTACACTTCAGAAATCATTCTCAAAACTCAAAACATTAATAATTCAAAAAAAAATTGGTTTTTTGTTACTTGGTGAAAAATTCTTCTAGTACCTAATTTAATTTTATCTGGCTCATTTATATTGAAAGTTCAGTAGATAACTTTAAAATGATATTGCCAATATTGCTGAGTTGCATTCCTGGGACGACTTTATTGTAAGATAGTTCATTCTATTACATTAAATCAACTTTAACTTAAGAATATCCGTCAGAAAAATAGTAACATGTGGTTCGTCTTTAAAAAGACAACCAGATGCAATGATGACAGTAAAACTCTCCTGTTAGTGATTCCATAATGAATCATGAGGAAAAAACATAATACTATCCCGACATGGTAAGTATTTGGTCTTACATTTAGTTTACTCTCAATAAACAGAAACTCTTATATGTATATTTAAAAACATAAATAATGTATCTTCGATGTGTTATTTACTTCCTAATGGTGAATATTTTTTATTAATTTCCTCTTTTAATATGGGTAACCAGATGCTACTGCATTCTGCCAAGGAATTTGCAACGCAATTGGTTTCATTTAGCATTAAATTCTCTAGTTTTAAAATAGGATTGATGTTCACTTATTCTAACATTTAATGGTCTTGATGTTCCACCTTCCACCCAAAAAATAATCGCATTCATAAGGTATTTTATAAAAACAATTATTTGTTCGTTCTTGTTCATTGCTAGGTTTAGTTTTAGATAAAATAGATCTCAATGTCTTTGTTGTTTTGAATGTTGTTGAACTGTTAAATTGATCTCCTATCGTTTTAAGTTTTTCTGATAATCTTTTTATGTATGGTACTTATTGTTATTTTCCTCGTATTATTCCTTGTCGATGCTACAGGATCCCGTTATAAGTTGTTCTGTTCCATTCGGTCAATTATTAAAAAATTCGTATTTATAAACGATAAAGAATATTCATTTTTTAATAAAACAAATATTAACAATTGTTTCTCCTCTAAGAACGAATTTTCATAAGAACACGTAATTTTGGCTTTATCGTATGATTTAATGATTCCCTTTTTAATATTGATGTTTTTTTCTAAATCTAAATTTGCAATTTAGATATTTGTTGGTGTGTGTTGGTTTTCTATTCACCTGAGTGTCATATCTAGTGTCGTTCTTTGAGATTAAAACATCCAAGAAAGGTAGTGTGTTATTATATTAATTTTCCATAGTTAATGGTATTGTCTCTTTTTTATCGTTTATATCATTCAAGAATGTGTCCAACAACTCTGATCCTGAACAACTCTGATTATGATCCTGATCACAAGGCCATATTGAGAATACATCATCTACATATCTCCATCATACCGTGGGCTTTATATTTTCTTTAGTAGAGATAATATTTGTTTTAAAATCTTCCATAAATATATTGGCTAATAATAGAGATAAACTAGAGCTTATTGCTAGACCAAAATTTTGTTTACACATTTTATCTCCACCTTTGTGTGACAGCATGAAGAGGTTTGGTACAAAATAAGTTTCGTGTTAACTGACTTTCTTATAAAGACTGATTTTGATCCAGATATTAAACATCTAAGATTGTTTTCAGACGGATGTGGGGCCAGAATAAAAATGTCCACATGGTAGGGGAAGTATGCCTATGGTGGCATACCTAACTTCACCTCTCGTTTTTTTTTTATTAAAATACATGATCATATTTGTTACAATTTTTTTTCTAGTTCAGTTGAATGTACCAATTAAGCTGGACATATAAAGGTCAAAGGGAATGTGGATTTTTATATTAAAAAATTGAAATATCAGAAATGTCAAGTGTGCCATCATAGGCACATTCCTTGCCTATGATAGCATGGCTGCACAGTATAATAGAAAAAAATATGTTTTAGTGGAATTTTATTCAAAGAGAACAATAATACAACAAATAAAAAAGTAACACACATTGAAACAATTAAGAACATAAATCACAATAAAATATCTTACATTTTTTATCGACCCCAGCGCATTTAGAGTGACACCAGGATTGGCACTCTTGACATTTAATCCAGCATTCTTTCGACTTTAAAAGGGAATACAGACCATTACAATACAAGCAAGCGACGTCGGAATCATCATCTTCAAACTTTTCGTTATCGCTCGCTAATTCCTGTTCCTTCTCATCATTTCTTTCTATGCCTTCTTTTGCTATTCGGTAAAAAGTTCGTTTTTCAGCAAAAGTGTCATCCACAGATTTTCGTTTTAATCCACTGTTGTACGTAGCTTTTCCTTTAGGTTCTATCTTCTGTTTTATTTGTCGTTTAACTTTGTTTACTAGTTTTCTTTGTTTTACATTTTCTTTTTCAATAACCTTATCTTTCAATTCTTGAATTTCAGGGGTTGAATTTATTACCCCTGTTTTTTCAAGCTTCTTTGGTTTTTTTTGTGTTAGACTGCGAAACACTTGGAATGGGTGATAAATCTTGGATTGTTATGTGAAGAGTATCCTGTTGAGTATTTTCTAGAAGGACCCGTTGGCAGTCTTTAGGTGAGTGATTTTGTCCACTTTCTAGGTTTTCTTCTAGATTATAATCTGGATTGTTTAGATGGATTTTTTAAGTTCGATCGTGATTGCTCTCTATAGGTTTATCTGCAACCAATGATGGAGCAAACATCCATTCCTCAAAAATATCATTAAATTAAAATGTTGAATTAAAAGGTTAAATCCAACAGGCAAAGGCATTTCAAGGTAAGCTGTTTTAAACAACCCAGCAACTTGAAAGTGCGTAACGAGTCTTCCAGGATTTTGTTTTAACCAATTTTGAATCTCTTGGTTATGGTTATTGGTTTGTAGAGGACTAAGAAAGCCCACATCGAGTGGCTGCACCCAGTGGGAACAGTGTGGGGGAAAGCAGAAAAGTACAATACCATTCTCTTTTGCAACTTGTAAGACTTCCAGTTTCTTATGACTACCGAGGCCATCTAGCAATAACAATATTTTGTTCTTATTCAAAGCTTTGGTATAGTGAATAAAATGTTTAAGCCATTGAACAAAATTATCTGAAGATATCCACCGTTTCTCCTGGCAAAAGGCAACACTTCCCGGTGGGGCAGCCTCCATTAATTCATTTTTGAACCTTTTTCTGGGAAAAATAAAAGCAGGTGGTACAAAAGTACCAATTGCATTCATTGAACATACAACTGTTAAATGCTGACCTCGTTTCGCACTGCTTAGTGCTCCAACTTGTTTTCGTCCCATGATTGCAAACACTTTTTGATGCATTATTTGAACAGTACTAAGACCTGATTTATCAACGTTGAATATATTTTCGGATTGAAAATTGTATGTATCTAAAACTTTTGCTAAAGAGATAAAATATGTTTTAATATTGTTTTTATGAAATGCTTGTGCTCGCGTAATATTGTATTTTCTGGTGTTCTGAGTGAAATGGTAGTATTTCTTTTTAAAAAACCCCTCACCCACTTCCATCCAGCAAGACGAGTCGTTTTGTTGAATTTGTGTTTGATGTTATTTCTCTCAGGAAGTTTGAAAACTAATCGTCTCAAATTAAACGTTGTGAGACCAAAAAATGTTGTTTACATATCAATCACATGAGTAGCTAATTCTTGCTCAAGATGAGGAGGTAGTGTAATTCTTCGGCCACCCAAAGCTCCTTTTTTCCACCGAAGTTGTTTGCAAAACGTCTACGGAGTGTCGTAGCCCGAACATTAAAAGTTTTGGAAGCCAACGGCCATCCCATCTTATTTTCTTGGATGTTTTAAATTGCCATATTCATGTTATCTTCCGACCATTCCTACCTATGTTTCTTGCTAGACGCCATATTAACAAAGGCCCTGCAACAAAACAAAGCCTTTATATCTGATATCAGGAGATATTTGACTGTTTAAGGTATAACTAGATAACGACAATCCAATTTTTAAGGATTGTACTAAACCTTTAAGGATATTTCAGATATACACTTAAGTTTACTATTGAAAATTTTGTGCTATTTGAAAGCTTCAAATTTGTTTAAAAACCTTACAAAATGGTATTGTTTATCTACTTCTACCTTAATATAAGTAAAAAGTTGAGTTTTTGAAATGTTTGCAATTATTGTTCATTTTTCTTTGATGGCATATACTATCTGCACTTGATGGCATACTGTGCCATGATTTGAACACATCTGCTATGCCGTCATATTTAAAGAAGAGCGTTATCTTCTAGCACCACAATGGCAGAAGTTAAAATGCATTGCCTACTGAAGCTTAATACTAATTCAAATTGCATACTTACTTTGGATATTTTAACTTCAGACGAGAAGCGGCAAAAAACTGTTTTTGTTATAATAGTTCAACACTCAACAAATCACACTTTCCGATAAAAGCCT